CGCAAAAGTTTTGTGTTTTGATTAAAAAGAAAGCAATATTAATCGTAATATGTTTTCACATATCAATTTACTTTATACCTTGTCAAGTAATATGGAAATAGAAAATGAATACAAAAGCAATTAAATATAGAAATTAAATAACTAAAAGTTGCTGTCAGACATTTTTTGTCAGACATGGGTCCCTTTAGATGACAACTTTCCAATACTTAATTCAAACTATTGAAGAAAGTGTGACCATTTCTGGGATCACCCCACAGGAACTGTAGATGAGCAAAGAGCTCCCAAAGGAATGATCTAATAGTGAAGCCTGGGATGTGTGGCACACAGGATATCAAAGAGAAATTTGACATATAGCCTACCCCAATGTTGTTTGAGCATTCCTACAACACTGTAGAGAACATTCCAACCAGACAGAACAAAAGACTGACAGGGCATGTTGTCCTTTAGCAACCTCTGCCAGCACCCACAACCCTCAGCACATCTGCCTATGACAACACCCTTTAACCATAACATTCTATGACATAACATCATCCACCTTAAGCCCATCTGTGGCCAGATATACGTTTTAAGAACCTGATCTGTGAGTAGATTATGGTAGATTACTTTTAACTGCTGTTATTGTGAGGGAAAACACAATTCAATTGTGATAATTTCTTAAAAATACAGCCATCCCACTTCATAAAAATTAATAAAAACACTTGTCTTCCATAGTAAATCTTCCATTCTATTGACTAGATGGAGTATTTCATACATTTAAATGGACAAACACTACATTTTAGTGTATTATTTAAGGGCAGAGGGAGGAAAAACAGAGGAAGAAAACAGGTTTCTTTGGCTCTGATGTCAGTAAGATCTTTTTACACGCCAATTTACAAGCACAACGCAAAAAAAGCTTCATTTATCGGTAGAAACCAGCAGCATCTTCGTGGTCCACGCATAGTTGAGTGTGGCGGGTCAGTGCAGAATGGCAATGTGCTGCGAGTGTCCCGCGTGGAGCTGCCAGGCTTTTGACGGATTTTCGTTTGGCGGGACGAAGCTCACCACCGGCTGTGCTGGAGTGTGAAATATCAGCACCATTACCAGCAAAAATCTGCTTGTCATCGTCGGCTTAGAGATTGGGATACAAAATTGAACTGCAGCCAAACGGGCTCGCTGTCAGGAGAGTGGTGACAGAGCGACGTAACGGTTATAAAAAACGTGTGATGAGTTAAAAAGAGCACAATATACGTTAAATATCGCAAAACAAACAAAACGAGCATCCCATCGGTAGCACAACATCCCACAAGCAGGGGCAGCTGTAAAGACACTCACCGTTGTTGAACATTGCGGACCGAAACCGATTGTTGCCGGACGAATTTTCCATTTCAAACTTTCACTCAGAGCCAACGGCTGCAGCCTCTTCTTTATCGTTTATCTTCGGAGTGCCCTGAATTTCCTCTCTCAATGTATAGTCGGCGGCTGAAGAACGTCAGTCCGTGTGCAGCGTTGTGCTGAGGACCGACCCGTTACTCCTGTCACAGTGTGTGTTTGTGTGGCGGCAGCTGCGCTTCTACTCACGCCCGTCGTCGTCGTCGCCGCGGTTCAAACTAACCAGCGGCCCCCTGCTTACTGGCCCGGTGACGTCACGACGCACCAGCCTCTGCCGCAGCGGCAACGTCGGAATGAAAACAATCGCACGTGGACTAGAGGGGAGGATGGTCACGTGCGTCTGTAGGGGGAAAACTGCGGAACGTCATTGCATTATATAAAGCTTAACCGTGGCATTAGGGGTGGAGTAAACAGCCCTTGAAACAGATGAATAATTATTCCAGCAAATATCTGTATTTAAGTCCAAAATTTTGGAATAGATTCTAAATATGCTTTACACAGGGAATAAAGCAATCTATATCAAAAGGCAGTAGATCATATGCATTTGGTTTTTAAACTAAAGATAGATTTGACAGTTGTTCACAATGCATATTCATCCAAACCATTACGAACACTCTCAGATCAAATGAACAACATCTTGCTACAATGTCATATTCTGCATTGTTTAATGCAAGCATTAAAATGCTTGCATATGTTGTTTACATTGATCTTACTTTTAAATCTTGCCACCCACTTTTTTTCACATTGCCCCAAAAGGTAACAGCTTTTCCCATAAGGACAACCGTGGTCCCCTCTAAAAAACTCCCAATCCCAAGAACTCAAAGAACACCATATGCCAAATTCCACTTAAACCACCCAAAGGGGTACTAAAGCTCCTCTTGCAATCATTTTCATAAAATGTAATTTGACTAAATTCCTTCTTAAACCCAGAATGATATATTTTTCCGTTGTTCATATTACTGAAGAGTTCCCTGGAGCTTTTTGCCGTCCCCGTAATACACCCAACAACTGGAGGGTCTGCTGAGTATTTCTGGAAATAACTGATTGGTACTAGCACAGGGATGGACCAGTTATCTGTCTAGGGCGTATCGAGCTTCTCGCCCAGTGTCAGCTTCTGTTCCCCTGCTACCCTTCTAGGAATAAAATGTATAGATAAAGTATTGATGGAGTCTGAGTGGTGACAGAGACATATGTGTAAAGAGTGAAGAGAAACAGTGAGAGTACAGTCTCCCCTGTTGCTATTAAGTTAATGACCACCTTCTGATTGTCTGATGCTGGATAAAACAGGTGGCTGTGGAGGTAGTTTTGTATTATATTTGATCCATTTATGAACTATTACTTATGACACCCAGTAGGTCATTAAAGTAAACTAAACTAATCTTTTGCCAAAGTATTTTCATAGCATTATCTGGGGCACAATATTAAGTGAATTATTTGAATATCTACTTTATAGCAGAAAAGTGAGAATTGCTTATTGTCAAATAAAAGGACTAGGAGTAGATCAGTTACATTTAACTTTTTTTGGTTCAACCATTTAGTTAAACCACAGGACGATAGTGACACCTGTTGGCCAGAAAAAAAGAAGCCACCTTTCAGGATAAAATTAGTAATATTTTTTACCACATTAGTAGCACTCATATTTTGTCCATCAAAACTCGTAATCATTCTCTAAGGGAAAACTACTTGTTGTCAAATATGTTTTAGTAGTTGGAGAAGGTGAACGACTGATAAAAGACTTCATGAATCCACTCTAAAAAGAATCAGAATTTTGAGTCCGGGTTATTTCAGGAGCAACAGTTTTATTTTTAGCTGTGACAAAATGGAAAAAAAAGAACAAAAACAGTCGCTTCCTCAGAGTCTAAATGTTCACGTTCAGGATTAAAGTGCAGAATTGTTTTTTCACAGCTTGTGTAAAAAAATTAAATAAGACAAAGAAAGGATATAATATTTAAATGATCAAAACTGACTATGAGTATCTGGAAAATATAAATATGATACAAAGCAGGATGAAGTCTTTTACGACATGGTATCAGCTATGATATGCAGTCCACTTGAATCAGGTTTGCACGAATGATATATAAAAAAAAGAAAAGAAGGAAGGAAATCAATTTGCGTTTTTGAGTCGTTGGCAAGGCTAGCTTACAACAAAGGCACAGCATTGTTCAGAGGTAACGATCCTTTGCAAAGAAGTGACGCGGCAACATTCACTGATCATCAACACTTCCTCTCTGACACAACTAACATGCTCAGTATGGCTCAGACAGGAATGGTGCAGGGAACACGGCAAAACCACTCATGTACAGTGCATAACCCACAGACGAACATGTCAGCCTGGGGAGTGGGGGTTTGTTTTCAAGACATGAGTTTGTGTTTTCAGTCTACATAGTGTCACAACTCTACATGCTTTTCCAGTCTCACTGTAACTGCTGAGATCTTGTTAAGCTGCTGAATTAACTGAATTTTGAAGAACACTCTAGAAAACTGCGGCCCTGAGCCAAAGAAGTACTATGTGGAAGAGGTGAAGGAGGCCGGTTTAAGTTCTATACCTCTGTGGGCATCACAGACATCATCAAGCAGTCAGAATGTCAGAAACAACACAGAACATCGTTTACAAAGGATCCGTCTGTATGCAGCAAGCAGAGCTGGGACATTGTATCCTCTCAGTAGCAAAATATGGGAAACTGTCAGACAATAGCTAGCCTGTTTTGAGTGTCATCGAAATATTTTGTCTTTACTGTGCAATGCATATAACAATAGTTAAAGCTGACCATTTAACTTACATGCATCAAAGTACTGGTAATCAGATGTGTTGCTGATATTCAAATGGTCTGTTTTGCTATTGAGAGGATGAAATTCCCAGAATCCATTTTTACAGTTTAAAGGCTCTAACAGTGACTTGCATTCATATATCAACCTGAACTGACATAATCAATTTCCTTATCACATATAGCCCAAGAGACAAAAATTAACAAACATGGCTTCAAACAGCCATTTAGTGCAAACAAAAGTACTAAAATGTATACAAAAGGATTTCAGTGGGAATATATAGAAAAACAGATGCTGTGTTTTTTTTTCTCGCAATCTTGCTAAATTGTCATTCATTTCTTGTTTTCTTATCCAAAAAGCATAATATCCAAGGAAAAAATTGCTTGGAGAAGAAGCTGAAGAAGCTTAACTCGTACATCATGCAGCTAATGGAAATGGCAAGAAATAAAACTTTAGAAGGTGCTAGAGAAAAATGTGACAGATTATTACTGAAGAGTGCGCAAGTTTAAGCAATGCTAGCAGACCAATGTCTGGACAAACAAGTATATACAGATATTTACAGTACAGTACAGCTGGCTTTATATGTAAACAAACAATGGGTCATCCTCTGAAGAAGATACATTTTCATGTGGACAGACAGCTGACATGATGAGGCAGTACCTGATGTTTTTCCAACACCTTAACTACTGTACAGTACATGGGAAAAGCATGAGTCATCAATAACTTGTAGATTGCCCTCAGAATATCACGCTATTTGATTTGATTATATCATATGGAATCATATACAGCATGTTCAAATGGGCAATGGACACCCATTGTGGTTTGATGTGATTAAATAATCCAGTATGATTGAGAAAATTCCAGCAAAGGGGATGGAATCTAGTTCTCTCATAAGGGATGGTAATGGTAACCCCCTTTATGTTAGTTTCGTTTAGTTGATCTGTTGTTGTGACATAGTTGAAGATGAACTATGGACGGAAAAGGGTTGTAAGGAGAGTTGTTAATAAAATATAGCTTTTGTTTCAATAAGTTTAAAGGGGCATGTGACCACTTGGATGTGAAGTGTATTTAACATATCTGGCAACATGAAAACTTTAAGGACCAATTGAAAGAAGTTGCTTGGAGAATTGGATGTTTATTGAATTCAGTTTGACCTTCTAGGTTGATTTATGGTGCCACGGATCTTCACAACTAAAATGTTAAAACTAAAAGTAACCTCAACTCAAAAGAAAGTTTAGCCATGGTGCTTTTTAAATTGCTGTCACACCTTTACTTTCCTTTCCAACTGGTGAGCCAATAAAAAATATGGCAATGCCGCATACGTATATAAAATATGTCTGTACATTTACAATATTTAAAACATTTACATCGTTGCAGGCTATGTACACTGAATGATTGGATGGTAAAGAGAGTAAGATACGCTAACAGCTCTTAAAACTGAGAGAAAACGTATCAAATTTATGCTAAAGATGTGTGCCTAATGTGAAGACAGTGCTACGCGGAAATACGGGAGACGGGCAGCGTCGTGCAGATTAGTGGTTTTTAACCGAATGAGGTCAGAGGGACACGGGGAGCCAGGATTTTACCCAACAGCATTATTGACAGTCATGCACTCTTCAGTGAGATACTTAAAGCTGGACAGGTTTTGTTTCACTTAAGCAAGTTGATATAAAACATATCTTTTCGTACGCTCAGATCTGAGTTTTAAACCAAGAGCAAAACCAAACACACAGCAACACCTGCAAACACCGACTGAACAATGTACTCTCTGGAGGCCCCAAGAGAGGCTGCTTAAAGTTTGCTTTGCTAATCTTTTTAAAGTATTTTTTCAATGTGAGTCTACACACTACAGTAAGCACAGTAAATATTCTTTACTGGTGGGACTACTTTTGCTAAATCTACATGATTTAAAAGTTGTGTCTGATTGCATATGACTTTTTCCACTTTAGCTTCAGGTGCAGCAGAATCAGATGTGTGAATCTCACACAAGTGGCTTTTTACATCCACATTTTCCCCCTGAGTCTACTTCTTAAGTCTGAGTTGGCCTTTCTGCGCGTCGTAATTTGCTTCAAATCTGTAGAGGGATTTAGACAGCTCCTCCTGTTCGGTGGCGCCACCTGAGTCAGGCGATTGGTGCCCCCCCCCAGTGGGCTTAACTCCACCTTCTCGCTCGTCCAGCTTCCCGCTTCCAGCCTTATTCTGGCTGCTCGGGGTGAGGGTGCAAGCCGTTCTCAGGGTGTGTGATTCTGTGGTTTTCCCAGAAAGCCGTGTGCAGCTGGTCCAGTTCAGACAGCAGGGGCAGACCAATGTCCAAATGCATCTTTAGATTCTCCAGCCACTCCTCCAGTTTGGAGAAAGCAGGTCTAAAAGCACACAGGGAAACCAGTTTAACCATTTTTAATTCTCTCAAAATCTGTCAAGAGGAAAATTCCCCCCAAAACACACAGGATTGATTGAATTAGACAATTTTATCTTAAAGAACAATGATACAGAAATGAGCACTTTCATGTTATGGCACATAAGATGCTCTCAAACAGTTCTCTGTTTTGGCATAACTGTTCCTTTTAGTTCTGATGCTAATGTGATCATGTTGAGGATGTCTTACCGTTTGTCTGCATCAAGGTCGCAGGACACAGCAGCAACAGGAAAAAAAGCTTGAGGGCAATCAGAGGGACAGTAGTGCTCCAGGAAACCAGAAATGTTCAGACCAAAGTCTGTGGCCCTGGGGAGGTAGTCTGGGTCAGCGTTCACCCGGCCAATGATCTGAAGGGGGCAAGCAAAACAAGAGAGAGAGATAGAGAGAGAGAGCGTTAGAAGATTTGAAGACAGAAGTGTCAGATGCACCCCATCAGCCATACTGCCGAAAACCAGAAAACCTTCCAAACTGAATCAAACATTTCCCAGCCAACCACACCTATCACCCGTCTGCCTTTCAGTAGCCACATGAGGACAGCGTTGCTCTGCTGCTCCCTCTAATCCCCGCTGTAGCGGCTGGGTAATGATGTCCATCTGGAGAAGCCATTTCTGGGGCCTCTGACAGGCTGAACTAAACTGCTGAGCCCACATCATGAGGATGATGTGTGGCCAGGCCCAAAGCCTACCGCTGAGAGGGACTGTAGGAAATGTAAAATGTTGGCAGCGTGACGCTGTTCCTACATAAAATCGAATGGATGCCGAATTTAATGTGAGCAGAACTTTAAAAGTTGGCAAAATGCTGTTGAAAAAGAAGTCTTTCACACGGACTGAAGACCAAGCAGAATTGGAAATAATGAGTAAAAATTGCCTCTGGTCGCCTTAAGTATGTGAACCAGCTAAAAGGAGGAGACGGACTGCTATCATATTGCCAGATGCAGCAGGTTTAAACTCTGTTTAAATTTCAATAACTACTCCCAGGAAAATATGTCCATGCTACAGGAAGTGATGCCATTCAGCTACCCTACACTCTGTGGTGGACCAACGTTTGTGTAAAGTAGGACTTTTAGTGGAGAAATATCTCATAATTTTTGACTGCAGCTCCACATGGCAGGAATGAGGGTGAGCCGTGCAGACTGGGCAGACTGACAAAACAAATCGGTCACATCTCTTAAAACCTATTTCTGGGCTGTGGTCACATTCTTGTATGAGTGCTAATAAGCATATATCATATATTTCACAGCGGGTGAATGGTTCTTTACCTCACAAAGCATAATACCAAAGGAAAAGATGTCCACTCTCTCATCGTAGCTCTTTCCTGCAGAGGAAGCAACACAAAATTAGGCTGCTTGTGATTACAATTAGTTAAGATTTTCAGAAAAACATCTGAACAGCTTTGTGGAGTGGCATAGCAAAGCAAAGCACACGCTGCATTGTTTCATACCGTGGATCATCTCAGGTGCCATCCAGTAAGGGTTTCCCACCACAGTGTACCTCTTCCTGCGGTCATGCCTCTTCAGACCCGGCAGTTTTCCCTGAGACAGCTTCTCCTCATGCTTGTCAACCACCATGAGCCGAGCCAGGCCAAAGTCTGCAACCACCACTGTGTTGTCCTAAAAATGCCATAAAACGGTCATTATTAGGTTACAAACTGCAAATGTTTCTAACCCAACAAGCGAGTGTGACAAAATGGCATGTTGGCTTAAAGTTAATGTTGGCGTTTAGCCAGGTTCGTACTCATTCAGAGAGCTTTTTACTTTAACATACACTTAATTTTGATGCACAAAAAGCTTTGTCTCTTCAGTTTAGATCAGAGTTAATCTGTAAATTATATGTCATGTCACAACAGCTAACAAAGCTCTTCTTTCTTTTTGTATCTGAAGAGGATCAGCAAATGACAGGTGCACTGCGTTTGTTCATGCAAAGGTATGCACATGCACAAGTGAACTGGAAGTTCTTACCTCTCGGACTAGACAGTTATGGGAATTCAGGTCTCGGTGGATTATGTTCATGGAATGTAGATATGCCTAGATGACGGATAGACAGACAATGGAGAACAGAAACTTTGATCGAATTCCAATGGAAAGTAGTACAATCTGTGTGGTTCAATCTAATTCTGTCAAACTATCTCCATTGTACTCATATATGGTAAAAAATGTAAAATCCCATATATCTAGCAGGAATTTTAATGAAGGAAAATTGGTCTACTTCGTTAGAAAATGTGGTAGCTCACATAAATGACCACTAGGGGGAGACAGCAATATGAATATCAAGAAACACTGGAATTTCTCACCATCCCAGAAGCAATATCCTTAGCGAAGCTGACCCGCAGGTTCCAGGGGTAGTTAATGTCCTGTGAAACATCAACCACACAAATATTAGGTTTCAGTTGCTGATGACTGATCCCAACCAGTTTTAAACCCAAACTATAGCTCAACAATACAGAGTCTGCATGTAAGGGCCACCCCAGAACATTTCAACATAGCTAAAATGATGATGTTTCAAACTGACAATCAGTGCAGACTGTAAACATGTCTTTGCTTACCATTTTCTTGATGGTTTCCCTCAAGGTTCCTCCCTTTATGTACTCTGCGATGAAGTTGAGTCTTTTGTCTTTGTAGAGAACTCCAATAAATTTGAGCACGTTTGGGTGATCCAGGCAGCGCATCACCTTCACCTGGAGACAACCCCAACATGTCATTTAAAAGCACACATAAATGCAACTGCAGTCAACCCATGACCAGAGTATTTTTGTAGCAATATATACTGTAACAGCTGTGGGGAAAGGACTAATGAGTCACATGTTTAAACTTATGTATTTTATCTGCTGTTATCTTTATGAAATTAGGGGTAACTGAGAGATTGCATTTTCTGTGGTAATTTAATAAGTAAGACTTATTCATCATTTCGGGACTCGAACTGAGCAGCTTCACCACGATTTTTAGCTTCTGGACACACACATAATAGTTTCTTGTTTTTTTTTTACAACCATTATTCCCCTGAATATGTCAGTGGCAATGAAAGTTTTTTTTTTACTAGCTTGTGGGCAGAAGGCATGTGATGTTTTCATTCATAACGAATCTTCTCGTAAGTTGAAAAAGAAGTACACTAAAACGATTAAATGCAATTCTCCTAAATGTTGAAAAATCTGGAGTAATCTGTATCCACTCACTTCTTTCAGGAATGTCCTTTGTGTTTCATCATCAAAGCGAATTAACTCCTTCATCACCATCACCTCTCCTGTCTCCTTGTGGGTCACCTACAGCAACAAATCAATGAAAAAAAAAAGTTAGGAAGTATTCTATCATCTGCATGACTTCATGGGAGCTATGAAAAGTCTATGATGGGCTCAAAGTCACAAAGACAAAGACTATTTTCTCAACATTTTTCTTGATGATGTCAATGCTGCTAGCTTCCAGACTTTGAATATGTCTACGTGTTGTGAGACCTGAGCTCTAGACCACCTTGATAGCCTGTCCGAAGCACCCCTTCCCGAGGACCTCTCCGTGGATGAGGTCAGAAGGACGGAAGATGCGGTGTGTCGGATTGGAGACAACCCTGAGTGACTCCGATCGATTGATCTCTTTCCTCTGGGAGATGGGCGACGCTGCGTTGCTGGAGCCTGGCGACTTATCAATGCTGCAACTCCTCCTGAGCGAGGCAGAGGGGTGAAGAGGACACAGCAGTGTAATGATTATGGACATGAAGAGAAGCAGAATATCTTCTTACCATTTGAAGAAGGGTTTACAGTAACTGTCTGACTGAACTAAATGGGTCATTTCTTACGTGATGATGCGGGATCTCAGGTTGCTGATGTCTGGATTTGGGGGTTGAGTGATGGGCACGGTGGGGCTGGGATCCTGTGACAGGGGGCCATCGACCTGTTTCTCAGCCTCTGACGAGCCTCCGTCCTGCTTCAGAGCATGAGGATCGTGCTCAATGGTGAGCTGTAGCAGCCGACTCGTCTCCTGGATCAGCAGGTCAATCTAGAGGCAAAAACAGAATCCAGAATAAAATAAAAAACAAAACAGAAATCATGATCATAGAGTAACATCAGTTAGATGAAGCGCATTAAAGTACAGAGTTCATGTCCAAATGTTCAGCCTGAGACAAGGCTTTAGGTTTGGCTAATTCCTAGGTTTGTTGGCTATCATACATTTCCTTAAATATAGTTTGTAAGTTTTTTGTATAAAAACAGCGATCTACAGCTGGACAAATAAAAAATGTCTCGTTTTCCTTTTTTGTGAGAAGGACAGTGTGTACCTCATCCAGAGGGACGTTATGAATGGGCGTCCCGTTGATTTCCAGGATCCTGTCTCCAACATGAATGGAGTTTTTCACATCTGGACTGATGCAGTCAGCATCCACTCTGGGTAAAGAAGAATAATAAGAACTCCATTTTGACACAGATCTGAGATTAAATCAACACGCAGCTCATTTTCAACACCCTGAGCTTTTCCCCACACACACACACTGACACTCACTGGGATACTCTGACAGTGGGTCCATTCTCGGTGCTGTAGCCGTTGGTGGGGCTGAGCGGCTCATCGATAGCCACGGAGAAGCCTCGCCCTTTGTATCCGTTGCTTCCCTCTGCTGAGGCCGGGATGGACACCAGGGTGACGGTGTGTGGGATCCGGGAGCATGGCGAGTCCGGCTGGGATACCGGGGTCACAATGGTCTGGTAGTAACAGTGGCCACTAAAGACAAGGAAGAAGAAGATGAGAAGAAGATGACAAAGGGTAGGGAGTTACGGAAGAAGAGGCAGTGCAGAAAATGGAAAACCTTGTGAGATTATTATGCAGTCACAAGAGCAACCTCAAGTTCTCATTACATCAGTTCTTACAGCGTCACATGGTGCTGACAACATGCAGCTGGGACAACAATACGCAGACTTTGTCTGCAGCTCAGGGTGACCTTTAATAGGCAGAAATCATTTTCATAGGTTTGGCTACCAAATCAGACCTTTCTCATGGAAACATATGCTGGGAACTCATGACAGACGTGTAGAATAACTACAAGATCATTCAGTAATGAGGCCACAGTTCTGAGGTTTAGTATGAACTAACAGTTTACGACCATGAGCAATAAAATGCTCATGGTGCAGCAGCAGCAGAGACAGTTTGTCAGTGAATGTGACGATCTTCCAGACGCGCTGTGGCTAAGAGAAGGACACCAAAGTCTCTGCTATCTGTACATAAGAGTGCTGTGTGACTGTCTTAGTCACAAGTAACGT